GCCCTCACGCTCACGCAGAGGACCGAGTTCGCCAAGGCCTTGCGCGAGGTGGCGGGCGCGAACGGAGTGGGCGAGCTCGTCGAAGCCTACGCGGTCCGGGGCCGCTCGGACGATTCTTGCCACGCTTCGGAATAGCCTCGCGGGCTTTTGGAGGGAGGGGAGGCAGGGAAGCGAGGATGAGGGTGGGGATGGAAGGGGGAGGGGGGGGGGGAGGAGGGGAGGGGGGGAGGGGTGAGGAGGGGGAGGGGGAGGGTGGGGATGGAGGGGGGAGGATGGAGGAGGGGGAGGGTGGGGGTGGGGAGGGGGAGGGGGGGGAGGAGGATGGAGGGGGGGGGAGGGGGAGGGTGGGGATGGAAGGGGCCCCCGCTTCGTCGTCTAACTTCTCGTGGCAGTGCGCTGGATGCAGCGCGTTCGTGAACATGCGTCACGTTTGGTGTTGGCAGTGCGGCATGCATTGGGAGAGCACATCAGATGTTAGCCCAGCCGCTCAGCAGCACAAGACTAAGGCCGACGCCAAGCAGAAGCCGATCGGCCCGCAGATCACGCAGCTCCAACAGTCCCTCGACATCATGAAGGGCTTTGGGGCCAAGGCCGAGTCGAGTGCTGCCTCACATGATGTGCTGGCGGCACAGGATGCAGTCGAAGCTTTGATGGAGCGCATGAGGATGGAGAGGGACTCCGAGAAGACGGAGAGCCAGCTCCTCCAGGCGCACAATTCCCGTCTGATTAGAGCTCAGAAGCAGCTGGAGACCCAGACCCAATACGTGGTAAAGCAGGAGCAGGCGTTGGCTGACTTGGACGTGCAGAGGGCCCTCATCGCAGCAGACATCCAGAGCGCGAAGGAGGTTCAGTCGAAGCTCGAGGGGAAGGTGCTGCATCTTCAACGTACAGCTCCAGCGCGCCCAGCTATCGACCCATATATGTCACCGCCAGGCCTCATGACGCCGTTCATTGCGCCCATGATGGGGGGCAAGGGGGCCATGATGGCGGCCGTAAGTGGTATGCAGTCCGCACATGATTTGTCAGGCTATTTGAACGGCCTCAACTACCTGTCGCTCAACCTCGACCCGTCGCTGCGCCAGGCGCTGAACGAGCACATGGCGGCCTTCGCAGGCGCCGTGCGCGCAGAGGCGGGCATCCCAGCCCCACCGCCGCCGCCGCATGAGGAAGCGGCCGAGGAGGCGCAGGCGGCTGCCGCGGCCAGAGGGGGGTGTGTGGAGCAGGAGGAGGCGCAGTCTGAGTTGCAGGAGCAGCACGCCGAGGACGCTGAGATGGAGCAGGCAGCCTTGGCGGGCCGCAGATCAGCTGAGGCGGCGGAGCTCGCCAAGGCCCCTCCCGCGCGCCGTGCGCGCCAGGAGGGCCAGGAGGAGGTTGCGGCCTCGGGCCTGGACCCGTCTGGCGGGTAACATTCAGTGCGAGTGCGAGAAGGGCGGCCAGCTCGTGGTTCAGACGGTGAATGCCAACTCCTGGACCAGCGCGGCCGCCTTCGTGCTGGGCACCACTGCCCATATAGTACTCGTTCAAGAACATAAACTACATGGTCAGGCCCTGCTAGAGGCCAAAGAGCGTCTACGAAAGCAGGGGTGTAACAGTTTTTGGGCTCCTTGTGAAGTCACCCAGCGCGGTGGAAAAAAACGCTGGAGTATGCATTTTGGCCAGGGCTCATCTGGATGTGTGGCAACCCCCTTCAGAGTCTGTGGCCCTGGCTGAGGCCCGAATTCTCCACTGCTACTTCAGAAGTGAGTCTTTGGGAGTGGTCTCGATTTATGGTAACTATTGGAAAGATGAGATCGGTCTTGGGGAACAGAATCTTCGACTAGCGGTTGCCTTGGGGAATGATATTGCCAGGCGTAGCTTACCCTACATCTCTGGTGGGGACCACAACTTAGAGCCTCATCTGTTCAGGGAAGGATTCTCGCCGCACAGGTTGAACGGGCAGCTTGTCATCCCGAATCCCAGTCAGACGTGCCTGTCCAGCACGCCAGGTAGATGCTACGACTACTTTTTGATCAGCAAGAACCTGCTTGCTGGAGTTGAGTCGGCGAAGGCCGATATGCAGTCTGATCTATTCCCGCACCGACCCGTCACTTTGAGGTTTAAGCAGGGGGTGGGCACCATCATGATCCAGAGGCTCTTGAAGTACCAGAAGCTCCCAGTGGATCTACCTATAGGTCCAGCTCCTCAGGCCCCGAGGTACGATCGCATCCTGGAGACTCTAGAGGACCTCATCTTGCCGTTCGAGAAAGATGGGGGGGTTAGACTTCCTGGAGATGACGAGCGGGAAAGGCCCCAGCAAGGTTTGGATGATCAGTATGAGAGTGGTGTGAGCAGTCTTGGGGAGAACTTCGGAACGCGCTTCAGAGCTTTCCAGAAGGTCGGGCTCGAGGTCTCCCCTATCAGACAGTAGAGGTTCCCATGGCCGAGCTCCTCTGCACCAAGCGCTCCCCGTCGAGAAGCCCATGTCGTGCTTTGAAGTGGTTGTCGCAGCGCTGTGCAGAGCTTTTGGCCTTTGTGGAGCAAGAGAAGTATCACGCGCATAGGCAGTATTACGATGATCTTGTTTGCTCGAGTTATAAGGTTTCGCAATCTGGCGGTATTTTCAAGTATCACTTTGCTGGAGGCCGTGAGTTTTGGCGTGGGGCCTTGGAGGCCGTGCTGATTCCTCTCTGGAACCCCTGGGAGATTGAGTCGGTCCTGCCTGCCCAAGCCTTAGCCGCGTTGAAAGCCCTGGCCGATCATTTTGCGATAGAACGTCTTTCTAGAGAGAGGGCCGATCGTTCGGCCAAGTGGAAGGATTGGTGCACTGGGGCGCTGGCAGGAGGTGCGAAGTGGGCTCGCGCCTACACTAAGGCAGCGGATGCTCGCAAGCAAGACCTGCTGCCGACCGGCGACGGCCATGCGACGTCGTGCCTAGCCGCCCAGCTCGCCCAGGAGAGGGAGAACTGGTCAGAAGCTTGGGGGGGTCAACAAGTCCACTACTGGAGGCCCCTTGGAATGGCCCACGTATACTATTCCAGAGCCCCTGAGCCCCGAAGATATCGTTCGTATCTCCAAGAGCTTCAAGAGAAACACGATTGCGGCAGATGGGTACCATCCGAGGCATTATCAGTTTCTCAGCCCACAGGCCCTCTCTTGTCTCAGCTGTATTTTCTCTATTATGCTTATTTTGGGATCAACTCCAACCTGGATGCAGACCCTGGTGGTTGCGCTCTTCAGGAAACCTATCTTGGGGCGGAGGCCAATAGGCTTCTTTCAAACCCTGGTTCGGACGCTGTCAAGATGGAACACTGATGTTTGCAAGTCTTGGAACAAAGAATTTCGGATGGAGGCATCTTCAGTATGGCTCCTGGACGGAGCCCGACAGATACGGTTTGGCGCCAGACTGTGCGAGGTGACCTTGCGTTTTCCAGGCGAGAGCACGTGCTCAGCCTGCTCGCCGACCTGAAGCAGTGCTATGAGCACGTGCAGCGCCAGCAGCTGATCAATTCGGCGATGGACTGGGGATTCCCGATGCATGTGCTCAGGTTTTCTATTCGCGCATACGCGTGGCAGAGGATCCTGAGCTTAGACGGCATGTGCGCTGATGCAGTTGTGCCAGCTCAGGGTATTGTAGCGGGAAGCAGCACGGCGACGTACGAGATTAAATGTTACTGCCTCCCCACAGTAGCGGAGTATTGTGAGTGTCGTCTGCATCCTGAGCTTGCCGTGCATGTGGGCGATTCTAGCCTTAATGAGAGGAACGAGGATTTGGAGCAATGCGTGGTCAACATGGGTTTTGCTGTCGCTTTCTGGGTTGACCGTTTATCGAATTTATTTAATCTCCGTTTCTCTATGAAGAAGTTCGCCATTACAGGAACCTCCCCAGAGCTTGTTGCTCAGGCCCGTCTAGCTCTAGATCAGTATGCTGGCACCTATGACCCGTCGGTTGTCAACTTAGGATGCGACTTCGCGCCAGGCAAGCATTTGAGCGTCAGGAAAGCCAAGCAGAAACGCAATGAGCGGTGGGCCAAAGGAAGGAGGAGGTTGGGGAAGATTCGAAGCCTTCGAAGTCCCAAACGTGCCCGGGCGAAAATATGGTTTTGTGGTATTAAGCCTGCCACCACTTATGGGGAGGAGGTGGTGGGTTAGACGCCGAGAGAGATTCGCAAACTACGTAGTCAGGCTGCTGGTTTTCTTGGGTTGACTTCCTGTGGAGCAGATTTAAATTTGGCGCTTTCGCTGGAGCCGACTATGGATCCTGTCAAACATGCTGCCGCAACCTTTCGCCGTTATGCCAAAGAAGTCTGGATGGCGTCTACTCCTGGGCACCGCCATGGTGATGGGCTGTCTGTGGGGGAGCTTTCCAAGATTCTGCATGCTGTCCAGAATTACATCCAGGGTCATACCAGAAGTTCATGGGCTAAGAAATCCTGGGGACCTATCGGGGACGTGATTCTCTGGCTCGGCATGGCGAACTGGCAGATTCGAGGCCCGCTCAGTTTTAACATGAGCAACGGCGACCCGCTGCTGTTGACAGATACGTCGTTCGCGCAGGTAGAGAAGTACTTTGTTCGCGATTTATACAAGGCCTGCGTGGCCCAGAGTATGAACAGGCACCTGAGGGACTCCGAACATCCGAGGGCTCTGGACATCTTGAATCGTGGGCTGTGGACGGACCCGCCGAGGTCCTTTTGGGCCAGTAAAAAGCGTCACCGTGGCGTTCAAAAAGCTGTCAAAGAGATATTTTGCAGGTCGTATGTCACGGCCAAGCGCTTGCATGATTGGAAGTACGAGGCCCTTCCTGCGTGCCCTTTTTGCAGATCCCCCGAGGGAGGGACCGAGGACACTGCATGGCACCGCTGCTTTGAAGTATCGACAGTCGGGGGAAACAACCAAGTTCAAGTTCAGTTGCCATGAAAAACTGTACTCTGATGGAAGTTGCTACTCCCCCACTCATGCGCATGTGGCCCGTGCGGGCTGGGCCGTCATCCAAATCGACGACGAAGGGGATTTTGTAAGAGCGGTGTGCGTGGCAACCTGCCTGGTTTTCTGCCTCAGAGTGCTGTGTTCGCCGAGCATTGCGCCTTGCTCCAGGCCCTGGAGCATTTTGAACACACTGTTGAGGACGA